GGGGGGTAATATTGAAGGTCGCACACTGAGGTTTGTATTGCCAGGGGTGGAAAGGCACCACCAAGGCTCGGAGTCTTGTGCTGAGCTTGCGCGAGTATTTTGCCGAGCGCCATAGGGCGAATACGCAGAAGGAACGCCAAGCTCTCAAAGACATTCACGAAATCGTGGCCTCCAGCGGCGAGCCTGACTCGACCAAAGTACAGGAAATTGCACAAGTCACCAGTCGCGATATCCTTCCGGAGGACGAGTGGGCTCTGGAATATATCACCATCTCCCGCATCCAACCCTTGCTCGAGGCGTTCGATGACGATGCATCTTCGCTCGTCTCAGTGTCCGAAGTGAATGCCTTCAGTAACGCTCGGCCAAAAGACTGGAGGTTCGTGATCTTTCGCACTGCGCAGTATCCAAGGAGATTGAGACTTATATTCTCAGCCTGGCCAAATGGATGGCGTACTGGGCAGCAGGTACGGATTTAGCACACGTCTAATCGTTGTAGAACTACCTCTCACGTATTGTTACAGGTTTTCCACTCACTCTTTCCTACTACTTCCGTCGTATCCAGCTTTTGCTCGCGCGAATAGCAATAATGGTGCAGGAAGTACGAAAATCATCCCCGGGGAATAACATAATTATCGACTACTTTCAGAACGACATTTGGCCTACCTACTGCCTGGACCGGATACTCGCTGGTGCTTACAACGGTCTCGAATTGACAGAATTGGATGACCATCTCTTTGATCGCTTCAGGGATTATGTAGAGAGCGAAGAAGCCAGAATCAAGAAAAATTAGAGTCGGTTATTTACTCCGTCGACGCATTAGATACACTTCAGTTTGTGGTCGGCTCTGCTCGTCTCGAGAAGGTGAGTATAGCTCCAGTATGCATCAATTTCTTACAGTTTACTATCTTCTCAGAACTTATTTCCTCTAATTTATCTACTGCTGCATCGCGTGTGGCACGTGCTTCGACATGCGCGCAAGGTCTCCCTGCATCCTCAGGAGCTCGTCAACATTGTCGGCTCTCTGGGCAAGATTTACGGTGCGGCATGCACTCGTGCTGAACATCTGACAGGTCTGTTCTGCGACCCTGCCTTGATTTCTTCCCCAGAACTCACGGATATCAAATATTAGCGATGTGCAAACTGCAGAACCTCGATCCAAAAGAGCAGCTTCGAAAGTTCTCCTATGGGATTGTAAGTACCCTGTTTCTCTACCGTCGCCCGTGGGGTGATAAGTACTTCGCCCAGTACTACTACTGCAAGTACGCCGATGACACAGAAGTGAGCAACAGCAGCGAATATCTGTCTGCTATATACTTCCAGTCCAAGTCCAAAGCAGAGGGGAGATTCTTGACCGTCTATAACCTCTGGTTCCTATACAGACACTTCAAGGTCTGTAACATCACATACACCGACCTCGACATCGTCAAGGAAGACGAACCCCCGGAGCCACTCCTTTATCCCGAACAAGATCTTGACCCACACGTTGAGATCTACGACGAAGGTGAAGTCCAATACACTCCTATCTCCGACGGTCACTCCGCCGTCTGGAGCGGTCATACGTCGACGAAACAGTTCGACGGCACCTTCACTGGTAGATTCTCGGTCGGTGTTCTGTACCTCACTCTACCCGCAGACGGCGGAGGCGGTGACGGAGTGGTCACCGGATCGGGCATGGACGGGACGGGCGACTTCACCGTCACCGGCAAGCTCCAAGGGTCCGCGATTAGCTTCAACAAGGAACGCGCATCGGGGATCCAGCGATACTCAGGCACGCTCAGCGTGGAGTGCGACGAGATCGTGGGAATCTTTGGCACCCTCAACGACTTCGGCAACTTCGACACTGTTCTGGAAGACTCCGCAGTTCTGGGTCGTTTCGAGCTTCATGTCGCGCCGATACGGTTCTCCTACCTTGAACCCAGCCAGGAGGCGCTTGCGGCGAACAGGGCTCGTGCACTATGGAGGTTCGCGATTGACAGTATCCTAAATGTTGTGCGAATCAAAGCCGGTCACTTCAAGTGGTCCTACCTGAAAGATCGTCGAAGGATTAGGCAGCGATTCATCAAGCTGTACGGCCGACTGGATGCCAATGCGTTCCCCGGGCTGCCCTCGTATCAAACGGCACTATCCGCAGACGAGTCGGAAGAGCTTGCCTCACTTGCGGCACTGTGTTCAAAGCAGGATCTGCAGCTCTACCGTAAACTCTCCTTGATCATACGACGGAGACAAGCAGTGCACTGGTGAGTGCTCGGGTGCCGCATATCCGGAAAGACAGACCTAACGACTTCAACTTCGACGCAGGGGTCTATACTGCGATGCATGCAGCAGTGACATTGTGTCGGCCCGTTACTCTTGCCTTGACTGCCTCCACATCGATACCGAGACCGGCAAGCTTATGGAGATACTTAGTGATACGATAGATCTATGCCCAAGCTGCGCACTTGAGCCTGCAACTCGTCAATCAGACAAGAAGAGCCACCTCCCCTCGCACGCCATCTATCAGTTGAGGAATCCGACTTCCAGGAGAGAGGAGTGGGATCTGGCCTTGCAGGCGAGAGAACTCGTCGTGAGCTCACGTGCAACCGGTCTGCCTACTTTGTGGTCTCTCTTGGCGACTTTGCCGCTGATGGATAGTATTATTATTGCAGATGAAAAAGCCGAACCGACCACATACAACTGCCATTACTGTCGCGAGGCTCTCCAGGCTCCGTTCTGGCATTGCATTGATTGCGCAGGTAAGACTGTTGAATACATCCGTAGCAGCTTGCGCTAATTCTCGCAGGAAACGCCTACATATGCATGAAATGTAAGGTGGAAAAGGAGGACGCACTGGCCCAAGAGGACGAGCTCTCGTTCGCGGCATACGCCTTCGCCATGGCCGCCAGCCGCTCTAACGCTGCAAATAGCGGCGACGCTCAGAGCTCTGCCGCGAACAATACCGGAGAAGACAGGGAAGATGATCCCGCTCAGCCTCCTTTGAACGACGCTGAGGGCGCCGGTTCTTCCAATTTGGCGGCTGTAAATGGCGAGGCTGCGGAAGAGTCGGAAGCCACTCCGGCGGAGGACACCTCTGCTAGCAAGGAAGAGGGCGCTGCAAGCGATATCGAGGCAGGCGGCGGAGACGCTGCAGACAGGCCCAAGAGAGGAAGCGGAGATGAAAGCGGGTCTGCAGGACTCGCAGTCCATTCTTTCAAGCACAACCTTCTGCTCTATCAACGAGCATCAAAGGAGCTCGCAGAAACGACCTCCAACGGTTCCGTCAAAGAGACGCTTCTCAAGTTACAAGAGCGCTTCTCGTCCTTCGACAATCGGCTGGAACGTTTGGAGGCGCTGCTTGATAATCTCGTGAGTGTCTTAGG